GATGGTGATGATGATGATGATGATGATGATGATGATGATGATGGTGATGGTGATGGTGATGGTGATGGTGATGATGATGATGATGGTGATGAAATTTTTTTTAGAAACAATTAATAATACGTAATCGGCTCATACACATCATTGAAAAAAAGAAATTGCTCTTTGTCAACCAGTCGGGATTCAGAAAAAAGGGAAACACACGACCAGTTATTGAGATTAACTCATGAACTGGATAAATGTACATGTAGAACATTTGGGAAGGTAATGGCAGCAGTTTTCTTGGATCTAGAAAAGGCTTACGATCTACTATAGAAAGAAGGAACCCTTGAACAACTTATGAAAGTGGAGATAATAGGTAATATAATTTTATTTAGGACTTTCTTTATGAAAGGACATTTCAGGTTAAAGTTGGAGACGTATTATCTGAAATAAAAAGTCAGGAAAACGGAACACCTCAAAGGGCAGTAATCTCATCTCTCCCACATTTTTTAACATAATTGATAAATTCAGTAGGAGCAATAGAAGAAAAATATACCAGGATAAGCATATAGATCTGGGGCAGTTTGCAGGTAACACTGCATTTGGATTAAAGCCAAATAATATGCCCCGGAAAGAGAGCAAAAAAGAATACCACTTTAATTTTTTAAAGCTATTGAAAATCCATTGTCCTCATCGAGACTCTCACAAATCTTGGATTTAAAGTAAATACAAAGAAACCCAAGCAATCTTCTTTAACCAAAAACTATGCCCAGATCTGCTGATTAATGGAACAAATGTCCCTACTACAAAACCAGTAATGTTTCCAGGACTTACATTTGTTTCAGTTTAAGGAGCATAGCTGGAAAACATGAGAAAGGAATCAACACCCTTAATATTTTGAAATACACAGCAGGAAAAGCCTGGGTGACAAATTCGAAAATAAAAACATTAAACAAAAATATGATACTACCAAGACTTGCCTATGGAGAGGAAATATACGACCAGGGTGCAAAAGGTCAACTAAAGAAACTGGACACCATTCAAAATGCAGCTTTGAGAATACGTGTAATCATCAATTCTACACGCGCTGCAAGCAGCATATGGCTTTATCAGTCCTGACCGAAATTCCCCCTCTTTTGATAAGAAGGCAGGAAAGCAAGGTCAAACTATAGCAAAGAATAAATTATAGTAAAGAAAAAAACGCTAGGAATGTCTACAGAGACCGAATAACCAAGATCGCAAACAAACATCTCAAAACAGAAAACGATATTGTAGAAAGCACGCAAGCGATTAGATGTCTATCGGAACTTTGAAAGTTAAGAAAAAAATATGTCCACCGCACTGAAACAAGAACTACCCTTACAATAAAATTGTGACAATAATGTGGACCGAACACCTAAAGAACAAAATAAAAAAAAGAGAAGACAAACGCATCAATGAAAAATATTACATTAAAACATATTCATAACGACCATAACCATTATTTCACTGATGGATCCAAGGAGGATAAACGTACTGGGGTCAGGATTCTATGTTAAAAAACAAAATATTCAGTCGTTTTCACGAATAACGGATTGTACTTCTATTCTTACTGCTGAACTGATACATGAAACAGGCTATCAGTACAGAGTTAGACAGGGATATTCTTATACCCACTGATTCTCTCACGGCAACACTTGGGGAATCTTACAGAAATCATGCTAGATTTGACATTCTCCAGGACATAATTGAATAGCACGAACAAATAACTAACGGAAAAAGGGTTACTATTATTTGGATACTATCACCACATTGCGGAATAGATGGAAATGAGATAGCTGACGAACTTGCAAACAGGGGAAGAACCATAGAGTTATCTCCTTTTTGAACTAGTCCGTACGAGGTCACGTGACATGAAAACTTTTGATTCGGTTTGCGGCCATTTTCGTTTTGGCAAAGAAGTTTGTTTACATGTGAGTGGGCTTGTTCCCGTTCAGGTCTTTGCATACGGGTATAAAAGTTGGATGTCAGACAGAAGCTAAAAGCTCATTTGCGAAGCCAACAACAGGTAAGGTTTCGACATGTTTTCTTTGATAAAAAAAATAGTAGAGGCTTTACGAAAGTGGACAAAGTATATAATACTATGTGACCCGTACACGCACCCAAAGAGAAGTTTTTAATATTATAGCGCCCGAATAGCGAAACATTTTTCTATTACTGATTCAATGTTTTTAGTGTATATTAAAATCTGTGTAAGATGGGCCCCTGTCATAAGACGGAATCCCCCCCCCCCCTCTCCTAAATAAAGTCCTCTATACTTACCTTTATACATGTAAAACGACAACTCTTCTAACGCGGAAACGGAAACAGAAATTCTTTCCCTTTGAGTGGTTTTTACCTTCCTAAGACGGAAAATGCTTTGCCTACTCTTTCCTGATTTGAAACAAAGCTATCAACTTCCATAGTTCCATAGGCTCCAGGGACCTTACGATTGTGTAACTCCGTCATCGGCTCTCTTGTCTTTACACCATGCGGCCAGGCGAGGAAGGGGAGTAGGGATGCAATTTTTAGAGGTAGGTGTTACCCAAAGCGAACTAAAGTACAAATGTACTACAGTTCGCTATGACGTTACCCGAGAAGTGCCTATTAATTAATAAGGTCGTCTCGATGTTACCCGATCCATGTGATCTCCTATGAACGGAGCAGGTGGTCAGGGTGGTGTAGGTGTGAAATCTCACCAATACCTGTGAAAGTGCTCCCGTGGGGCTCCAGCTTTTATGGGTAGCCAGAGGGTGGGAGCAAAGAAGATGTTCAATCGCTTTTGTTTTTAATGGTATTACAATGTAAGGTCAAACAGTGGTCCTGAATCACTGGTGGCAATGGAGCAAAACTGACGCATGCTGGACGCATGCCATCATCACAGAGACTATGATAGCACTTGAGAGGTGTGAACTTTTGACCGCTGCTTGCCGACCGCAGGCTGGGCATCCGAAACCCCCCTCTATCGCCCCATAAATTCTACTATCTAAGACGGGAAATGTCTAAAACGGATTTTTTTCTCTGGCTACCTTGCAATTCTGTCTTACAGTTACACAATGTATTGTTTGGTCGCTGAGCTGCAGAAGTGTCATGCAAGGTTACAAATAGTACATGGACATAGGTAAATTAATACATTTATTGAGCTAGAGTTTTTGTTTAACTTGGACAGACGAGAATGAACAAGCGATAGTGTCAGAGGATGGGTAGCCAGTGAGCATGAACATCGATTTTAATAACGACCTTCATTGGCTCAGAGAGTACTGGGCTTGTACACCTATTTGTCCGATGGGTTTGAGAATTTTGAAAAAAGACCCTACTTGTTTACTTGTGTGAAGGACCGACATCACTGCGCAAGGGGCATTCCCATAAGCGCTCCATCCCCCGAAGAAGCACATCTCGAAGTGTGTAGATGCTGACGGTTCCAACCAATGGTTGATTCCATAGCCTTCTGCTCCTCCTACTAAGTCTTGAACTTCTGCAGGCGCCCCATAAATACCATCCAATTTCAAGCTCACGAAGTCGCTCAAGATGATGGTATTCCGACTCTTCTTACTTCTTGTTCTTTTTCTCATTTTTCCCTGACTGAACGTACAATTTCAGGTTTGTCAGGGCACAGCTTCTCTTCTGGTTTTGCTTTCCCAGCGAGCTCATCATCCCACTCATTAAAGTCCTTGACTCCAGCATGACCCGGGGTGAAGATCCACGTGATCTTTTTCAGTGTTGGCTTCTCCAGGAGCTCTGTCCATTCAGCTCTAAGGTTCCCATTCTCAATCTTCCTCAGAATGCTCTGAGAGTCAGTGACAAAGATCACATGTGCTATCTCAGAGCAGAGTAAAGGCACGTTGTAGTATGTATACAAAATAAAATCCTCGTTATAAAGTGGTACATGTGGTTTAGGCCCATGATTAGTGGTCCCCGTAGAAGGATTCCATTTCACCAGTGATTACTGAATCGAGACAAAATTAATGTGTTCAAATACCTTTATTAATAAACATTTTTGATTATATACACATACAATGCAAGTCGCAGTAAGTTGTAACGGACACAAATGCTTTTAAACCAAAAGATAGTAAACATATACGAGAATAATTTAAAGAGTAGGCCTACTCTTGGGCATATTATTTACTAAGCCGTTACAAATGAGGCTGCTACTGGCTTGGCAGTTAAACCCCCCCCCCTCCCCCTCCCACCACGCAAAAACAATAAAACAATCCAAACCAAGGAAAACAAAACAACCCCCCCCCACACACAAAAAGAAAGCGAACAAAGAGTATCATAATGAAGTCATAAACAGAGAATGACCATGATGTCACCGGACGGTAAGTAACTGTGGCTCCACGTTGCATGGTTACAAACAATTCCAAACTTCTCTTTAACATAAGCAAATTATTAAGTCAGCTGTTCACAGTGTACTGAAGCACGCATTTTGATGGTTAAATAGGATTCTGTTTTTTAAGGAATAAAAGCGCCAGATTGTGAGCGTGGATAATGATGGTAGAAAATGAGTGTAGAAAATAGAAGGAAATAAATAAATGGGCATGCAGTTCACACAACTTGCTTAATATGTTGGCTAATGAACAACAACGACAATAACAACAACAACAACAACAATAATAATAATAATAATAATAATAATAATAATAATAATAATAACAATAATAATAATAATAATAATAATAATAATAATAATAATAATAATAATAATAATAACAATGACAACAATAATAATAGTAATAGTAGTAATAATAATAATAATAATAATAATAACAATAATAATAGCAATAGAAATGTATTATGTATCATTTGTGTTAAAATGCGCTGTGAAACTTCTGACGATACAATACACATACATGCAAACAGACTTTAAAGATCAAAATAACGGTTGTCTACTTGCAGGCAGGGTTAAAAGAGAACTTCAACTCAAGCGTTTTTGCGCTGTGTTTGAACCCAACTGAAGCGTTTGACTTTTAAACAAAGGTAAAGAAGAAGATGTGCTGGGACTTGGGAAAGGGATCAACAGGATCAACTCAGGTGAGTTCAACACAAGGGAAGTCAACTGTAATGTTCAATTGGATATAAAAACCCATTCCAATGTGGCTCTAGACAATTTACTAGCCTATGTTTTATACAAGACACAAAGTGAAGATGGTAGAAACGTACCTCTCAAAATTTCAGCATTACGTATAATATCCCGCTATATGGACTCTTTTTTTGCGTATTATTGTCTCTCCGTAAACGTTATACGCTTTCGTTCCCTCCCGGCTCAAAACCGGACATACACAAAGAGACAGACAGACAGACAGACAGACAGACAGACAGACAGACAGACAGACAGACAGACAGGCAGGCAGGCAGTCAGAGAGACAGGCAGACAGACAGGCAGAGACAGTGTGTTTTCGGTAATGTGAGGCCATGATTAAAGACAATTTACAAAACAAAACAAAACAGAGAGTTTGTCCGAGAAAACGCCATAATGTCCATATAGGGGAAAATGTGCACGGGGATTAAATCACCCGAAAGTTTGTTTTCGACGAAGTGTAGGTTTGTGAATTCACTGATGGCCCATTCTCTTCAGAATTTAGTGACATAGTTTCTTGAGTTCCTGTTGGTTCGCATGAATGTCGACTTTGACATAGTAAATCCAAGAGGGAAATTTTTGCTCGGATTCGTTATAGTTATCGTGGCAGAGTTTGACTGCAGTGACGTCACCGTGGAGGGAGAAGAGACGGGAGAGAACGAAGATGCAGTCTTTGTCCAATTCGTTGTGGCACCAGAAACTATTTCTTTAGATGGATTCTCGAAACTCTTTGACAGAAGGGGAGGCTTACAAGTGATAGAAGGAGAGATGTGGTTTGGCATGGCGCTAGGCCTTGTTGCAGCAGCGGCCGGATTGAGGGAGGTGGAGGTGGTGGTGATGGCGGAAGGTTCCGAGGCCCGCCGGCGGTTGGGAGCTGGACTGTCTACGATCACCTTTTCTTCTTGTGAATTGAGCCTGGCGCACGTGAGAAGCTTCAGTTCCTGTTGCTTACTTGCTTGGATTGTCTGAAAAGCCAGCAAACAAGAAAAACTTGATGTTAAGATCATTAAGAAATTATAAGCGAACGGTTGTTGGAAGATACAGCACAAATTGCCTGTATTAGGCCTACATTGGGTTTTTTTTTCTTATTTTCTTTCTCCCTTTTTTGTTTACTAGGATTCTAGATTATTTCGACTATTCCATAATTAGTCATTCTTTTAAAAAAAACCTTTTTAATGGGGTTGGAAAGGGGGGGGGGAATTAGGAGGGGGAAGGGGGATGGCTAGAACTAGAAATCATCAACATTATGGGTATGGGTCAATTGAAGTTGGAGGATATGCAATCTGTGAGTCGAAAGCTTTTATACATTCTTTAAAATATCAAACAAATTAATGTTAAGAAAAATACAAAAACTATTTTTAAAAAGGGAGATAATCTCTATGATCAACCTTATGAAATCCCAGTAGCCAGATGTCCAGGTGTGTTGCTGTAGAATTTTTATTCTATGAGCGTCTGTCTGCAATTTATTCCTTAAACTGTTTTTGATACTTTAAAAAATACCTCATTCTTAAGCTCTATTTACACATTTCTATAACATTTTTTCATTTAATTTTTTTTGTGGGGTGGTGTTTCTTGATTCCTTCATTAACACCTGCTAATTATGATGATGAGCAGTTTTTAAAAAGGATTTATAGTTATTAAATAGTATTGTCTCTAAGCGATGCTAGTTATGAATGGCAAGGTGAAGAATAAGATAACTTTGGCCGCTTGTTTCAGAGTTCTGTGTTGGTCGTTTTTTTTTCATCTTCTTTTTATTTTTTTTGTTTTGGGGGTGTTGTTTTTTTCGG